TTAAAGATTAGAATTTGACATGTCATTAATGAAATTAATGCTGTCATTCGGTTACATATGTGAGGCTGAAAGAATCAGTTTCCTGTCTCCGCAGTCACTCAGCTGCTGCTGCTATGGCGACTTTTATGATGGATATTTTTGAAGAGGTTGTATAGAGTATGTGTGAGAGAATGTGTGTGTGTGCTTTTTCATGCTGTCATTTCCTGTGTGTCTCTCCGAATTGGTGATACAGAGCAGCACCCTGAGCAACAATGAGGGAGAAAAAGAAAGCGTAAGAAAGAGAAAAAAAGAGACGGAGACTCTTGGCTTCCGAAATGAATCTCAGAAGTCTAGACGAGTCTTTAGTGCATCTGTGTGAATATCGGAGAGTTCGACCTTTCTGCCATTCATCCTACCGCAAAGAATGACACAAGCCCTAACACCAGCAGTCAACAGAAGATGAACCTCAGCAAATGATGGACAGATTTTGCAATGCAGTGAAAAAAGGCACAGCGTGTACGCTGTTGAAGAAAAGTGCTGGTGCTGAGTGCTCTGAAGCAAACACAACAGAGGCAGAGACTAACAATGTCAAACTCCAGCTTGAACGTCTACACTGAGAGTTTTTTTTTCACCAAACTCTTTTGCCCGCAGCTCTTCTGCCCCCTCAAGGCCATGTGTGCTGATGTAGAAGAGAGGTTACTTCTCCATGACAAAATCAGTCCGCCCAAGTTCCAACTCAAACTTGCCTATTCACCCACAGATATCCTTTTTTATGTCTTTACATTTTTGTGGGGTCTGCACATCCGATTTGGTCTGATCTTGACCTTTACTGAAGGAAACCTTTGTGCACTGGCACAACTTGAGGTAAATCCCTTGAGCTTGGTGCCACACAAAGTGTGTAGTTAAAGGGATAGTTCATCCAAAAATGAATTTTGAAATTTGAACTATCACCCTCATGCTGTTCCAAACCTGTAGGAATTTCTTTCTTCTGTTGAACACAAAAGAAGATTTTGAAGAACCGTTGCTGGTAGCTAATGACTTCCATAGTATTTTATGACAGAATTTTCATTTTGGGGTGAACGATCCCTTTAAAGTGTGCACTATTCAAATGCACCATGATGTCAATGTGGCTTACAGTAAGTACGCTTGATCCAAAATATTAAAGGAACAGTTAACAGTTAAGAAAATATCTTGAAAAATGTCTTTTTGACCATAAAATCAAAATCATTGAGATCCAGTGTTTTTTGGACCCCACTGACTTTCATTGTATGGACAAATACAGTTCAAAAATATATTTTATGTTCCACAGAAGCAAGTACGTCTCCAGATTTGAAACGACGCAAGGGTGAGTAAATAGAATGTTCATTTTTGGGTGAACTGTCTCTTTAAAGATGTTTGCATATTTTTGTTTAAATGAACACTACGATATTTAGTATGTATCTGAATGTATTACAGTAAATACATTGTGAACAAAAGACATACAGTAGAGTGAGGAACGGGGACAGAGAGAAGAGAAAGAGTGCCAAGCCAGATGTAGGCTAATGTATGGAAAGACCTTGGCCCAGTAATGATGGAGTTCCCACCGACATGCCAGCGCGCGCCTCCTGGGGCACTTGACTGAGCCAGTTCCAGTCTCCACTACCTCAGCTACCATTCATTCACTTCTGCCCAACACAAAAATGCTCAACAGCTGCAAATGTTAGTAGAATCACCGCATGCCAGTCTCCCGAACGACCCTGGACGTTTACAATTCACAACGGACCACAAGCAACGACAAATCTTCCCCTCACGTACCGACACAACATGCGACTCGCTTACAGACTTGCAGGGATTATGGAAACGAGCCTGTAGCTACTCGGTCGACACGCATATCCATTCGTTTTCTTTAACTTCTGTCTATAACACCTGACAAAAGTTGAAATGTGTTTCGACTCAGTCACGCATTAGTTGAGAACAGTAAAGAACAATGAAAGCAGACTGAAGAAGCGTGTACTCACCCTGCCCGTGCGCGCGGAGCTGACAAGTATGCAGGCACAAGCCTCACACCAGGGGTGCCTGGCAAAATATCCGCGCTCTGTCTCTCTCTCCCTCTCCCTCCCTCTTTCTTTCTCTCTCTTGCGTGCGTATTTCCCACTGCTACCCCGTTATCTTCTCCTCCCTCACACCTGCACGCTTTTACCGTCCCTCTTTTTATCCCAGCAAAACGAAAGAGAACGAAAAGCAACGCAGACGTTGTGCGTATGAATATGTAGTGGGGCTTGGGTAGTGCGCAATGGAAAATGTACTTTTGCATTTTGGATGGATGGATGGAAATATTGTATGAAGCTTATGTCTGGCGTCTGCTTTTGACAGGAAAAATACGGTTGATATTTCAAAACATTTATGGCTTACAAATATCAGTTTGATTATGCATGTATAACAGCCAGTATATGATACCATGCTGATTTTCACTTTCATGTTTTTGCATTTAGATTACCTTTGCAGTCATATTTTTGCTCACTTTAATTTAATCTTTGCTAATAATTAGCTAAAAGGCTAATCATTTAATAATGCAATGAAGCATTTTTTGGTTCATTCACTAGTAAACTTCACAAATATTTGCAAAGAAACGACATGGAATTAAACGTCAAATTTTAAACTAGACAGTGTGAAATTGTATTTTGTACTCGAATAATCTGTTTCCTTTACAACTTAAAATATTTTTTACAGTGTTCAATTTCATTTTTAGAAAACAAATACCAATTTTTCATACTGTGCATTATATTGTAATGACTATATGGCTGTAAGTGTGTGAATGCATTTGTTGCGTCTGTAAAAGTTTAGACCTGTCAAATTCTAACAATCCCCCTCATGTAAAAGAGACGGAGAATGTCAGTAAATTAGTTTAGGTATGGAGGGAAAGACAGATTGGTCAATAGTGTATTGTGAGAAGACAGTCAGGCAAAGAGCGGCATAATTTACAGTAGGCTAAATGGGTGAGTTAGAAAAAGACAGAGCACTCATTTAATTCTTACATTAGTAACAATTTTGTCATAATTCAAAGGGAAGTCTTTGCAGCAGCATCCAAGATTTACAGTAGGCTACATGATGCCACTCAATCATTGTTGACGTTAACAAAAAAAAAGTGCAGTATCATGAATTTGTCTCTTCTGAAACTCAAAACAAGATGCATGTATGATTACTGGGTTCCTTTTAAGAAACATGCAAAGTCTGTCTGGGAGAAACTAAAATATTAACGCGATTGCATGCGTATGAATATGCAAACACACTTACACTTTCACTTTAAATTCAGAAAAACATCATGGTTAAATGTTCACTTTTTCCTCATCAATAAGCCTCATCTTATTCTTTCTCAGTTTATTCTCCCTGTTAGTCTCATTATACTTTATAGTGGCCTTATCCTCATGATAAAGTATTTTTAGGCATGATATCAATAGCATAGTACACTCTGACCCCAAGAAGACCTGAAGAAGGGAAAGAGAGAGAGACACAGAGAGACAAAATTCTACATTATATTCAACAACACACGACAAGCAAGCATTTCTATGAACACCTTTTTCAATTTCAGATGCTGGAAATCTTTAATTCAAGAAAGAAGATGAGGTCACAGAACTAAAAAGAAAGTCGCAGTGGGCATTAAAAAAAAGAGGAGTGACGGATATGAAGACAGTTACAGTAAGGAGGTTAGGGTAGTTTTTAATAGGCAGGGTATCTAAGGGTATCCTGTTATATTACACAAGTCCACTGGGACAGCACTGATGGAGCGATGAGTGGAGAGAGAAAGTCTTGAGATTGAGAGATGAGAGTAAAGGTCTGTCCTCTCATCAGCACAAACGCAGACTCCAGAGATGTGATCAGTGAGTTAATCTATTTTATTTTCACACTTTGAAAACAAAACAACTCAATACAAAATTATTATGCAATGGTTCTATCTATCTATCTATCTATCTATCTATCTATCTATCTATCTATCTATCTATCTATCTATCTATCTATCTACATTTAACCAAATTATCTTTGTTACTGAGGTTGTGATTGGAAACAAATAGAGACACCGCATATAGCATAATTATCTCAATACATGGAGTTTTCACTAATTAGTACATTAATATTTAAGTTGCTTTTGTAGATCTACAGAGCTTAGTTCCAACCTAAAAATAAGCACCGCTGTTAATTGGTTGGGTTCAACTGAACATTTGGCAGGTGTGCTGTAGCTGGAACCAGTGTGCAGAAATGTACAGTCGATCTCCAGAAGCAGAACTGATTTACAAAGTATCCCATTTTCATAACCACATGATCAGCAAGACAGCGATGCAATAAAAGCCTGGGAAATGTCGAGCAGGATCAGGCAGTGATAAATAATTTTTGCCTTGTTACAAATTCCAGGGATTTTTTTTTTAAATAATAAATAAATTTCAGTCATCAACATTCCACATTCACACATCTCTTTTTACCTAACCTTTCAATCCTCCTAAACTGTCTTCCCCACATAATGCATGAAATGTTCCCACTTTTCAGTATTTTGTCGTCAGTGCAACTTTCAAGTTGTATTAGATGGACATTTTGGGCACAGGGTGCAGACTTGGGTCTTTCCAGGTCAGGCATCACGATTTTTCACTATGCAAGACACGTGCATACTAATCTCGAGACCTCCTGTGTCTAAATAACCATATTCATACCAGCTTCACACAAATAACACTCAATAAATTCATCCCTAACTCAGATTTCGAAAACTGTTAAATTTGATCAATCATATGCACTAAAAACAAAATTTTGGTTGATATAAGTTGGAACCACATTTTCTTCACACTAGAGGTTGTGTGAGGTTGTGTTTTTTTATTTTATACTGATGATATGGTTTAACATGTTCATAGAAAATTTCTGTAATTCTGAATAAACATTAACATATATATTTTATAATACACATACTTTATATAGATATGCATATAAATATATGGAATAAATAAATATCTAAATTTTAGTTTTTCATAAAGTCATTTGTTTTAATAACATAGATCCCAAGGACTTTTTTTGTAATATGCTAAGATGATGCAAACGTTTATAGTCTGTATAGAGTCATATTTTTTGGATTGAATTCTGATGCATCTACAGAGATATAGAATATCAGCTCTTAACATTCATGTCACAAACAAGTAGTTTATATGCTGAAGCAGTAATCTTTCATTTTTTTATTTTTATTTTTGCATTTAGCTGTCATGTGTGTGACTCCTAAATCATAATACGGAGTTTCTATACCAGTTGTTAGATGATTACTAGTATTTGCTTACCTGTCTGCACTTATTTAGTTACCTAAACCAAACCAGAGCAAACAGGATCTTACACAAAGACAAGCAGAAACGCATTAGTTTGATCTGAGATTAAATAATCAGCTTGAAGTGAACTTTAAAACATGGGGGGAATCATGTTCATGCTGGTTTCTATAGTGCACTCAGTTATAATTAGGTCATGGCAACTACTAGCATCCAAAGGGATATCCAATAAGATTCCATTGTCCAATGAGATAATGGCATGAATGCATGACCCTTAAATAATTCAGGCTGATACTCTCAGAGTGGACCGGCTAAATATTATTAATGCTTAGTTTGCTTTACCGTTAAGATGATTAAAATCAGTTGTGGTGTTGTTGCAGAAGGTGATTGCTGGTCTAATTGAGACAGACTCCTATTGTAAGCAAGCTGAAGCCAAATTACACATTCTTTTCTTTTGGTCACCATAGTTTAAATCATGAACAGGAGCAGAAAAATCAAAAGACGGTTGGTGTGGATTGATTGAGGTTTTCTCAGACAGCTGTTAGGGGTGAGGGAGGAAATTCCGGGTTTATGTAGGTGAAGTCTTGGAATTCCTCTTGACTTATAGCGGCGAGAACATCCGGGTCAGAAGGCGTGAGGGCGGAGGGGGCGGATGTGAAAAAATTATCAAAGTTCTCTCCTTTTCTGCCTCCCTGTGGGAACGACAAATAGAATCAGCTGGGTTACGGTTATTTCTATTAAATACCAAGCAAATTAAGTGGATGCTGTTGACGTCAGAGAGGTGTAGAGCACCTCTAATTATTTGCTGTGCTCACATACATTCACACAGCATAATATCCACATAGATTAGCATGAGTAATATGGGTAAAGTGCTACAGGCAATGAGGGTCAGGTTTATTTTGGTTCTTCCGTCTTTACAAGACAACACCAGTAATGCACGCACACATGCACGGATGCATGCTGAAAATAATAAGGAGAAGCAGGCAGAGTGCATTAATAAACTTCCAGTTACATGGTTACGAGTTTAAAATAAAACAAACAAACAAACACACACAACAACATTTATCCCCATAAGAAAATGAGGACATACCACAACTTCTGTTGGTTCTATGTAAAGTTAATTATAATAACAACACTACAGTTAAGCAAATGAAAAGCTAATGTGTTTGCTGTAAAAAATATATATATATATGTATTATATAGCAATATAAGCATACACTCTAAAAAACGCTGGGTTAAATTAATACAACCCAGTGCTGGGTAAAATAGGGACCCAAAATAGTTGGGTTACTACCCAGAAGGTTGGGTTAAACATTTAACCCAACCGCTGGGTCAAAACAACCCAATTGCTAGGTTTGTCCCTATTTTACCCAGCACTGGGTTGTATTTAACCCAGCATTTTTTAGACTGTATAGTTTATATATTATATATAATTATCTATCTAGCATTTATTTATAACGTATATCATTTATTTTATTATATCTATCTATCTATCTATCTATCTATCTATCTATCTATCTATCTATCTATCTATCTATCTATCTATCTATCTATCTATCTATCGTTGGGTTAAACATTTAACCCAACCGCTGGGTCAAAACAACCCAATTGCTAGGTTTGTCCCTATTTTACCCAGCACTGGGTTGTATTTAACCCAGCATTTTTTAGACTGTATAGTTTATATATTATATATAATTATCTATCTAGCATTTATTTATAACTTTATTTTTTTATTTTATTATATCTATCTATCTATCTATCTATCTATCTATCTATCTATCTATCTATCTATCTATCTATCTATCTATCTAAGAAAACCAATTTGGAGTTTAAAAACAACTATCTTTTTAATTACTGAATGAATGAATGAATGAATGAATAATGTATCCCCAGTAGTTGTCTCTAAAGGGAGGTTTAATATAATGTTTATCAATCAATCAATCCACCCATTTACTTAATTTAAAAACACCCGTGTATTTAATTTAATACACTTTTTTTTCTTTCATGATGCGGAGTTTCCATTTTCTTCTACTGTTTATATTTTAGATAATGATTTTTTTTTGTTTCCCCTACCCCAAAACTAAATCATCACACCAAGCTTTTTATATTTTTAAATTTTTGTAAAGACATTATTGAGTATGTTTAATAATCCAGACGTTATTCTAAAATTGTGGGGCATTTCTGGGGTAAAGCCTGACCCGCACACAGAGACAGGTGTTGTGATAGGTGATACTGACACTTCTGGGTTTGAAGGGAGGCTGTGTCTCCAATCTCTCCAGCCGGTCCCAGTCTATCCAGCGGAAAAAAGGATGCTCCCGCAGCTCTCTCTCTGCATCCTCTCCTCCACCCAAACGCTTAGCAGGGTTCTTGGTGAGGAGCTGGGAGAGAAACAGATGGAGAAAGAATGTCAGAAAAAAAATCAATTGTATGCTAATTTAAGTAATTTTTTTTTAGAAGTGTTAGTATTAAAGATGGGATAGATTGCCCTGTGCATGCACTGTGAGCAAAATATGAAGGCAGCAGAGATGAAAGAACAGGAAGTAGATTACCCCTTTGCAGATGGCCACAGCCTCCCGAGAGAGACACTTCGGATATGAAACGCTCTGTTCCATGATGGACTGAAACAGCTCCTCCTCATCTATACCATCAAAAGGAGGCTGATGAAAAGAGAGAGACAGTGGGAGAGGGCGCCGGGGATGAAGATCTATTGAGAAAAGGACCAAATTAAAGGCTCAGTGAAGCAGAGGATGAAAAATTACCTGCCCAGCCAGCATTTCATAGAGCAGGACTCCATACGACCACCAGTCCACTGCTTTACCATACGGCTGATACGCCACAATCTGAAAACAACACAAATCTGTTATAACCGCTTCTTTTTTATTTTGGGTATAGATTTCCCAAAGTGTTCATTTAGAATGCCTTTTGAATTCCAACTTAATTCTTTAATTTGTATTGAGGTAGCAAACAGGATGCAGAATTATCATTTGAATTTAAGGAAGTAAAAAGAAATTCAATATAACTGCATTTAATATGAATTACCAATAAACATGCTATCATGTAGAAAACAATTTGATATTTCTGAAAACATTAGATGATTTTAGAATGTGATACAATTGAATTTTTATTATTATTATATTTGCATTTATATTAGTGCTGTCAAATGATTAATCGCATCCAAAATAAAAGTTTTTGTTTACATAATATAGGTGTGTGTACTGTGTATATTTATTATGCATATATAAATACACATGCATGTATATATTTAAGAAAAATGTTACGTTTATATATTAAATATATTATATAATTTATATGAATATAAATACATGTAAATATTTTCAAAATATATGCTGTATGTGTGTGTATTAATATACACATAATAAATATACACAGCACACACACATATATTATGTAAACGAAAACTTTTGTTTTGGATGCGATTAATCACGATTAATCATTTGACAGTACTAATTTATATATACTGAATTTATTAAATATGTATATCATTAAAATTAGCTATTTTAATTTGAATATAACAAAATACCTACACTACCATTCAAAAGTTTGGGGTCAGTCAGATTTTTGTAAAATAAATGAATACCTTTATTCAGCAAGGATGCATTAAAATGATCAAAAATGAGAATAAAGGCATTTATAATACTACAAATTATTTCATTTTCAAATAAATGCATCAAAAAAAAACTTCACAACTTAAAAAAAAAACAAGCACAACTTTAAAACTGATAATAGTAAAAAATGTGTCTAGAGCAGCAAATCAGTATATTAGAATGATTTCTGAAGGATCATGTGACACTGCAGACTGGAGTAATGATGCTGAAGATTCATCTTTGCATCACAGGAATAAAGTACATTTTAAAGGGGTCCTATTATGCTTTTTCACTTTTTGAATTTTAGTCAGTGTGTAGTGTGTATGTTTGAGCATAAAAAAGATCTTCAAACTTGCAAATCTCAAAGTCGACTCCAAAGGAAGATATTTCGTTTTTTAAAAATCCCTTTTCAAGAACTACACCGAACGGCTCGTTTGGACTACAGTGTTTGTTTTCCGGGTTTTGTGATATCACAAAGCTGTCCATTAGAATATCATTAATAGTTCCCGCCTAAAGAAATTCGAATGGTTGGGGGATTGGGGAGGGCGAGGTGTGGTTAGAAGGCTTGGTTGAGTGAGTGCATCAGACTAAGAAGAAGTGCTGCTGTAGCCTCAAGTTTTGGCAAGTTATTACAAATGCACCTGAATAATTATGTAAATATGTATGTTACAATTATGAAAACGTTTTTATAATAAATTGCTGACAGTACAATACTGGGCAATGATGTAATCTGCAGAATTTACACTTCAATTATGAGACTACAGTGTTTCTCATACATTGAGTGCGGGTGTTTTTATATCACTGTATTTCTGAAGGAAACCGACTGTCTTCAGAAAATTGGATGTGATTTTTATGTAATCTTGCATGTAATGTCTGATAAAGCAGTGTTTTTTTTTAGCAGAGCGCTGCTTTGTGTACAGCCTTATCTACCACTCACACAGCGCCTCCTGCTGCCAGAGAATGAGTTTGCATATGTATGCCGCCTGGGAAACACTGGACTATGGTATAAATAATTTCAACTGTATAACAGTTTCACTGCAATTCATGTTATAATGTTAGAATTAAATAAAAATAATACATATGCACTAATATGTACATAGTAAATGCAGTTATTTTAAGCGGTTGTTGACATCCTATCTGAAACGGGATTTAGCCCAAAAAAACAACAATAACGTTACCACTCTAATATGTCTTGCAATATCCCTGCGTGCAAAGGTTCTGCGAGATCCTCTTGTTCAATATACTCTGGGTCTGAATCCGGCTCAAATTGATATGGCAATATTGACTCCATCCTTAACTAACAGCAGACTGAACTTGCTGCTTTGGCAAGGGGCGTGGCAGTACTGAAACACCGTCTAAGCTGCTCACCAATCACAACGCACTGGGACAGCTAACCAATCACATCACATTTCGTTTTTCGGAAGGCGGACCTTCATCAAACCCGGAACTAATCGAGACGTTTGTGGCAGGCTGGGGAGAGAGGTATTGTAATAATGTAAATTATGTAAAAAAATAATGCGTTTTTCGAACCACCAAGCATGAGAGCATGTTCTAGTACACTCCCAAAACAAATGCAAGACATTGTAAAAGAGCATAATAGGACCCCTTTAAAATATATCAAAATAGAGAACGGTTATTTCAAACTGTAATAATATTTCAAAATATTACTGCTTTTGCTGTATTTTTTTGATCAAATAAATGCAGCCTTGGTGACTTCTTTCAAAAACATAATAAAAAAACTTACCGACCCCAAACTTCTGAATAGTAGTGTACAGTAGGCATTTAAATATATTCAGTAAATTACACATTTTAATATAACATATTTATTAAAGAAACTTCACAGAATACTCTTCAAAATGGAGCCAAACAACATGAAGCAGGATGATAAGATGGATACTTTAAGTAGAGCTCTAGGTAAGTTTGTTCTTGTCCTTTAGTTCCTCTGTTCATGACTGTTGAATTTCTTTGAATTGCAATTCAGTAAATTGCCCATCATTCCAATTCAACATCCTGTGGAATGTGACCAATTAAACTCACATTCCAACTCCTAAACTTAAAGAAGGCCCATGAATTTTGACCATCCTTGCTAAATGCTTCGTAATTTCATAATGTTATATTCTCAAAATCATATAAATTAGAAATAATTCCATTACAGAGTTAGATGGATGCTAACAGCCCTCTCAATGTGCAGATAAGCTCATGAAAATCATATTAAAGATAATTACACAATAAATATGCCAGCGTCTCTGTGTCAGCCGTGAGTGTGTGTGTCACAGCGTGAGAAAGAGAGATTAATTTCCTTGCCTGCAGGGACACATATTGCATCTTTTCAAAATGACAGGGACACATAGATCAATGGCTTTTTCTCTCTTTTTTTTTTTTTTACATAATGTGATCAATGTGAGCCAGTTTAACTGCTGGGTTAATACAGCACTGACGCATACTGGGCTTCATTAGACCCACATTCACATCGCCTTTCCATCACACAGCAAAAACACAAACATTGACGATTTAGCACATACATCACTCGAGCGGGATGTCCGTCATGTCCGTGTAGTAAACACTGCAGTGAACCTAAATGAAATCACACAGAGACATGTAGATGCACATACACGCAGACATGTGCTGACTGCGCACAACCACCGAGTGTTCATGTAAACACAGAGCCGAGGTTATGAAGGAGAGGAGATGAATCAGACGGGAGCAGAAGGATGGAGATGGAGTAAAGGAAACCTCAGGTGCGATGTAATCAGGTGTGCCACAGAAGGTGCGAGTGGTGTCCCCTTCCATCATGCCTTCCCTACACATCCCAAAGTCTGCTATCTTTATGTGTCCTTCACTGTCCAGCAGGACATTGTCCAGCTTTAGATCTCTGCAGACCAGAGAAAGAGAAAGAATATTAAGTGACTGTAACATATGGTGTGTTTGTGGAGGGAGACTGTCATCATGTCTTGTACCTGTATATGATGCCTTTGTTGTGCAGGAAGAACAGACCCACCGCGATCTCAGCAGCATAGAACCTGCCAACATGAAAATCTCTCATCAACTCCATTAAACACACATTCATCCACTGCAGGACAGAATGACAGAATGATGCCAAACAGATGAATTCAGAAACAGAACAGACGGGGTACTTAAACAGTATAAAAAGTGAAAAAAACAAGCAATAGTTGTTGGATATTGTAATGTTTTTATCAGTTGTTTTGACGGCACCCATTCACTGCAAAGGATCCACTGGTGAGCAAGTGACGTAATGGTACATTTCTCCAAATCTGTTTCAATGAAGAATAAACTCATCTACATCTCGCATGGCCTGAGGATGAGTACATTTTCAGCACATGCTAATTTTTGAGCAAATTATTACAGGAGAAGTGCTAAACTTACGCTGCATGCGGTTCTTTAAACTTGCCGACGATTTGGATGTGAAACATAAGATCACCACCGTTCACGTACTCCATGACGTAATACAGACGATCCTACAACACAAAACTGATTATCGGCAATCAGCAGATAAGCAACTTCACAATACTAATAGGAATCAAAAATGAATCATCAATCAGTTCGCTTGTTCTCATGCTATACAAGTAAATAATACAACAAATGCCACAGCAGATTAGCAATGTCAAATTAAAAGACAAATTAATGAATAGAAACAAGACCTTGTGATCACACAAGGGCAGAAATATCATATTTTTACAGAAATTAAACTTATATTAAAGTATGTATTATGAAACTAACTGTCCTTGAACACTATGCACAATGAATTGAGTGAACTCTGTGTTGTAAGCTGAGACCAGCAAGTTTTCTCAGTTGCTTCAGTATTTGTCACCTACAGCCAAGGCAAGATAACAGTCCACTTTATCTCCAGAGGCATCTGACAACAGCATCTGGTGTCTGTAGGACTTGAACTTCTGATCAGTGCGACGCTGCATTTTTCCACTGGGCAACTGATAGCTTTGACAGGAAACTCTATTTCATGCACTTGATACAATGAGACACAGTTTACATAAACAAAGAATTCATTACCAAAACACAGTCACATCGAGTGTTTATTACAAATTCAATCGACAGGGGTGGAAAAAATCAAGTGATTTAACAAGAGTAATTCAAACCTTCACAAACCATTAAAGCCAGACATACACACACACACACACAACACTCCTCTTTTTCTCTCTTTCAGTACTGCAGCTGCCAATGTATTTCATTAGGCTGATTGCCACTTTGCAATATGTGTGCTGAAAGAGGTCAGACAATTAGCACTATGAAAAGTCATTTTTCAAAGCAAAATGAGGCAACTAACATTGCAAAAAGGCCCTCCAGATTCATTAGTTACAAAAAGTATTTAACTTGTCAGAATGAAATAGAAAAAAATGATAGTCTAATCACCTTTTATTACACAGGTTGTTTTAGGTTGCCAGTTTTGGACTCATGACAGCATTCCAAGAATATAATTATTACACTGTCAGATGCTTCTGTTATTTTGTTCATCATGTTGACATTTTATAACCCTGTTAGTCAATATTGTAAAAGCAATCTGTTCTTGTGATTTGTCTCCCTCTCAAGATTGCTAACAGCCTTGTTCAGGGCAAATTAATTGACTCTATCGGTCCCTATCTAAACCAATGTAAACAACCTTTTAATGAGGTAAAAGAAGAATACTTACGGTGTTGCTTTCATTTTTACTATGATTAAACAGCTTTACTCCATAACTGACACAGTTATTAATCTGGCATTCAAACCTCAGTAGAAGTGCTTTTTTTTTTCAATAAAAAACAACAACATTTCTTTAGATACACGATGAACATGCACATGTGTTGAATCTAGGCATATTAGAAGCCTAATAAAAGCTGTTTATTTTACATAGAATGGGTTAACTCATAGTGGCAGCCATTTTTAAATCACATGACCAGATGAATATTTAGGTATATTCATGGCATTTTGTAATTACCGTAATTACTAGAAAATCCAGACATTCTACTTGAGGCCGTTCTGAATCCGAATCTGAATTATGTGCTTCTACACCATTAATGCCAAAATGTTAATATAATTAGACAAAACCACAATTTAACAAGTAACAGTTGTTAAGCAAATGCTTTATTAATACACTTTATTTAGTTTATTAAGCAGGAGATTAGACACTACCTATCTAAATCTGTGCTGGCTACATTCAACTATATTGTACGTCTTTTGTTTATTTTCAGATTAATCTTGATTTATTAATACATTAATAATAGGCAAAACAGAACAGAAATATTACATTTCATATTATATATTACATTTTAGTCGTTACTACATTTTACTGCTGAAGCTGCCATCATTTTAATAGGTTCAGCATCACGTTGTTGAAGTCATGTGGTCAGAGAGTTTATAAGTTGTAATTATGAGTTTTGTAAAGATATAAACACTTTTTAGAATTCACTAGTTATGGTAAACCCAACATGCTTTGATTGTTTTGGCAATCCTGTGTTAACAGACACTATCACCTGCAGAATGGCATCGGAACCTGAAAACTTTAGTGTGATGCTGCATCCATGCCACTAGGTGTCAGTATACTATCAACCAACACAACAAAAACAAAAAATTACTGCGTTCATATTTAAAAATATCCAGTTTCTGCCCTGAGAGACCACATGTGAACATGCAGGACCCACAAAATGTCAGTACTCGTGTTCCAGCTGTGCGAGGTCAAAAAAGTGATTTAAAAATGGCCCTGAAGGTGAAGAGTGCATCTGCTCCATCACTAAGGGCCGAATGACATTTCAGCCCATATATATTTCATAATTTGCAAATGTGCATATGCATGTATAAACCTCATCCCCAGGCTCCCACTCTCTTTTAATCATTAACCGTTTACACACTCTCACACACATGGATGAACACACAGACCTCGGTTTGAAAGGCGCAGTAGAGGGAGGTCAGGAAGTGAGGTCGGCCCACGAGGCCCAGCACTCTTCTCTCCACCATAGCGCTCTCTGTGTCCTCATCCTGAAACAGCACGTCCTTCTTCAACACCTTCACCGCAAACAAGCGCTCGCTGCCCCTCTCCTCTGCCAGCAGGACCTGCGGGATGACAAGAAAACCTAGCGCTAACACTTCTTGAACATTAATATTTAAGAGTTCATCATCTTCTGCTCACATTCCTACAGCAGCGACTCGATTGGGCAAACACACAGCAAGAGCAGAAAACATCATTCAAAGCGAGTTTAACATTCATAAGGGAACATTACCTCAAATCAAACAAAAAGAAATTAACAGAAATTCTTTCATTTAATTTACTTGTGTGATCCTGTTCTCTTCCTGTCTTTTTATTTTGCTTTGTGTAATTTTTCTATCTCTGGGTCCCAGGTCTTTTCTCCTCTGCTCTTCTCTTTAATCTCTTCCCTCGTTTCTATCCTTTCATTAGCATGGTTCTACGCCCTGGAGGATATGCTGTCTACTGAGTATAACCCTGGCCTCTTATATAACCAAATATACTTGTGAACACACACACACACACACACACACACACACACACACACACACAAGTGTGTGCACATGCGTATGTACACCAGATATGCTCGTGCACACACAACATCTACTTTAAAATTAGTTTATATACTGTACATGAACACTACCACAAAGGAAATAAACATTCCTCCACACGCTCAAACAAGAGAGTGCAAAATGCACACACACACACACACTCCCATGTCATTCCTCCTCAGGGATCAAACAGCTCAGAGTCCTTCACTTGTGTGCTCTGCGCTGACACACGACAACAGCATTTAGATTCTGCTCAGCACAGACAGTGTTGAGTGTTTTGTTTGACCAAAACAAGGCATTCGTTCTGAAATATTCCAACAATCCCATGGCTGCTCTTGGATTTGCATTCACCAGGAGTTTCTTACACGTATCACAAATTCTGCTTTATTTATCACATAACAAGACTGGCCGAACACCCAAATGACCGTGTGCCTACATAGCTCCAGGTTTTTAAAGGTGAATAAGGTCTGCATCTCACTGGGCCTTGAGTCAGAGCTTCTGCCTCCTACTAGAGGAAGCGAGGCAGAGCCACAGCTGCAAATTTTAGATAGAGAAATCAGCCCCCTCTTCTTGCAGCTGGGACCAAAGCTTTAGCGTTTCCCCTTCTGCCTGAATTAGCAGCAGCAGCCCAGGAATGAATGAGACAAGGGCCTAATTCAGTTCCAAGGACGTTGTACCCTTCACACTCCTTAGTGCATCTACAGGGAACATGGAAGTAGACGTGTTTGTTGATGGGTGAGTGCGGTCTCATGTAGCCTGACTTTCGGCATAAAAATCTGGTCTGCCTTGCAGCCTGTTTTGTCCCAAACCCACCTACTTAGGCTGAAGGCCAAAGTATACTTTGACACAAGTATACTTATCTCTTAACCCCCCTCATACAAGTGCTTGTCAACAAGGCCATCTATTGTTGTTATGTTCTCCAGTAGTTTATTGTTTGTGTTGTCTCTGCCGTTTCTTTGTGAAAAAACAATCTGGCCCAGTGTTGCCACCTTGTGGACAAAAAATATTAATAAAAAAACAATATGTTGAGTTGAGTAGCATGTCCAAATTCATAGCGTTCATAAAACAGTAGGCCAAAATTACCTAAAACAAATGTAGTACCTACTAGTGTTTGGTCTGAGTCCTAGCGCTTAACCAATTGAGTTTGAATGGGAGACATTTATTAAGGTCACTTTATCTTAATTTTATGTTGTTACTTTATTTATCTTTCATGCTACATGTAATCTTTACTCTGTAAAGTCCAAAGTGTCCTGAGTCCGTGTCCAGTTCAAGTACAAGTCCACCCGAGTCTAAGTTCATTCAAAACTGCAGTTAAAGTCCAGTTTCGAGTAAGAGTTTGAAGTCCAAGTCCAAAGTTTAAGTGCCCCAACTCCAGTACCTACTACAGAGGATCAGATTTCGGATCTAGCAACGGTTTTTCAAAGTATACTCAATTTAATTCAACACATACACAAGTTTCACCCTTGTCTAGTGTTTGTGCTATTTCTCTCCAGAAGTTATGACTGATAAAAATGTCTTTGTACCCATTAAAACTACAGTTGCGGGTGTGTCTTAAAGGGATAATTCACAGAAAAATTTAAATTCTGGAATCATTTACTCACCCTCATGTCGTTTCAAACCTGTATGACTTACTTTTTTCTGTGGAACATAAGAGGAGATAATTTGAGAAACGTTTAGCATTTAATGGAAGTCAATGGTAACCATAACATTTTGGTTACCAACATTCAACATATCTTCTTTTATGTTCTGCAAAAGAAAGTCACACAGGTTTGAAACAACATGAGGGTGAGCAAATTATGGCAGAATTTTCATTTTTGGGTGAACTACCCTTTTAAACCCCTGACACAAGAGCTTGTCAACGTCACCAGCTATTATTGTTGACGTCTCCAGTAGTTTGTAGGTGTTAAACTAATTAGTGCAAAAAAAATTCTAAACACATGTGCAAGCTGAGTGTATGGACAACCCTTGATGATTAATAAATGCACTCCAATGCACGGCACTGTAACTAATCTAGTTTAAACTTGAAAGGGACTAATCTATATATTTGTCATAGATTTAATGTCTCTAAACTGCCAGACTCATTATTTTGTCCTTCAAAGCAATCACTGTATCAACCCATTACCTTGTAAACATAATTTGTTTACTGACAGACTAATTATAAAAAATGGTATCTTTACTCTGGGAAGTTGTGTAAAGCCAGCCAAACAGATCATAGTCAGCGCTTGCCATTTTGGTGTTCAATATGCATCAGACGGTCAGTGAACAGAGTGGGCGGACTGTGGGAGTTCTGTCAGAGTCTAGAGAGTTTCCTTTAAAGATTCTGTTCCACTGACAACCAGGAGGTCAAATACAACGATTTATTACACATACAGCAGGGTCCAAATGTCAGTGAAAAGTTGACTTGAAAAAATAGGTGTTTATTTGCTTTAGTGACAACATACTCTATTCATTTTAAATCATAGAATTTCATTGTTTCTCATTTTTCAAAATTCTGAATCCTATTTCCAGGTTTAACTTTGATTTTGAATCCCATATTTTCATTGTGGCCTTCTGGATCCCACTATATGTGTATGAAAAAAAGTATGTAATTTCAAGCACCTTGCCAAAGCTCCCTTTGCCCAGAATCATGAGGAAGTTGAAATCGTGCAGCCTGACTTGGCCTTTGCCCGTGTGCAGTGCAGTGGGAGTCAGACTCAGAGCAGGAGGGGTCACAGTCGGAACAGGCGTCGTCACAGTAACAGGAGCAGGAGGAACAGAGGGCGTGAGAGCAGCATCTGGTACCTTCAGAAATGAGGAGAAAGATGGGATGAGAGAGGGAAAGAGAGAGAGAAAGAGAGAGAGCACAAGAATAGTTTGTTTCAATAAAGAACTACACTGCCCTCCTGTGGATGTGCTATGAAGTGACACAATTATGGTGCTCCCAGAATGTGGTCAGACTAAGATGACATTTACAGAATTTGTAGATGTGGCTGTTTGTGACTGCATGATGTCAAAAAGAATATTCGATTTTAGCTGGATGTGTTTATTTGTGGATCTGAGATGGCCCTCGGCTTCTACAGCACTCTCTTGGCTGAATATTGCATGTCGACACTTTTATCTAAAGTGACTTACAGTACATCTGTTACAGGGATAATCTCCCCTGGAGCAAAATGGAGTAAAGTGCTTTGCTCAAGGGCACAATGATGATGCTTTATGGACAGTCACTTGAAGATTGCAGCCAAAAACCTTTCTGTTTTTACCACAACTTATGGAAGGCAACTCAAAAGTTGCAGGCTACACTCCCCACAGCAGTGCTTATGGTAGATAATAAAAAATTGCTAAGACAATTGCTGAAGACAATTTAGATTTGGTAAAATTCACGGATGTAGCTACAGATATTTTTTCTTTTAATTTTGTAATGTAGCTCTGAGCGATACAGATTATCAAAAACTTGGATCTACAGTATCTATTGGTTGTTGACTGGATAGGGGCAGATGTGAATGTGAGCTTGCAGTCGATTGTAAGAAAGAGGTGAGGTTTGTGAGGAATAGAGAAGTCTGGCATATATCACCAGAGAGAAGCTTGTCGTTTCACCAGAAGATCCAGTTATGATAGTTTGATTAAAAAATGAGGTCCCAAAAAAAAGAAGAAGAAAAAAAGATTAATTAATTAATTAAAAAAATAGAAACAAGTCAGCACTGATAGCCTCGTTGGCATTCCCGAGTTCCCGGCTCGTGGACCTTTCCCGATCCCATAGCCCTCTCTCTCTCCCACTTCGCTTCCTGTCAACTAACTGTAATAGCATCATAAAGACAAAAAACGGCAAAAATATTCTTAAAAAAAAGGAGAAACATATGCATGGATGAATTGTTCGATAAAAGATCAATAACATGCATTTAGAAAATAGATAGGGTGAATTTTCACTTCATTTTCATGAACTAACAATGAACAATTTTTACAGTACTTCTTAATCAAGGTTGATATTAACTTACAAACATATTATTGTTTGTTGTTAATTCATCTTAGTTAATAAGATAATCTTTGTTAATTTAATTTTAAAAATGTATTAGTATAATGTATAAATGAATATTAATATCAAAGAATGCTGTATTATTCATTGTTATTACATTTTATTAATTGTTTTAGTGTTAACATTTAATGTTATTACAAAGTGTTTAAAACCTTTGTATAAAAATGAGCTGTATAGCTGGTCAGAACACAAATGTCACACACGGTGGGTTTCCATGTTTTATGGGGACATATGTGTAAAGGTTTTTATATTTTATACTGTACAAACTGTTTTCTATCCCCTTACCCTACCCTTAACCCTAACCTTACCCATCACACAAAACATTCTGTTTTGTGTGATGTTTGATTTCTGTTTGATGTTCAAAAAAGATCATTCTGTATGATTTATAAGCAGTAAAATTTTCCCATAAGGTCAAAATGTACTGGTATTGCTATATTTGATATACTGTAGTTGTGGGGATATATGATCCCCATAATGTAGGGAATACCAAACCACACACACACACACACACTTAGTTTTTTTTATGGTTCATGGGGACTCTCAATTGGCATAATGGTTTTTATACTGTACAAACTGTATTTTCTAACCCTACACCTAAACCTGCCCCTCACAGAAAACTTTTGACATTTTTAGATTTTCAAAAAACTCATACTGTATGATTTATAAGCCTTTTCAACTACGGGGACACCAAAACTGTCCTCATAAATCACCTTCACATTGTAATACCTGTCATACATACCCATGTCATTACGCAAATCTGTGTCCTTGTAAACCACATAAACACACACACACACACACACACAAACAAAGGTGTAAACAAGAATGTTACAAAAAATGAAATGATAAACTTTGTCTCAATTGGCATAATGGTTTTTATACTGTACAAACTGTATTTTCTAACCCTACACCTAAACCTGCCCCTCACAGAAAACTTTTGACATTTTTAGATTTTCAAAAAACTCATACTGTATGATTTATAAGCCTTTTCAACTACGGGGACACCAAAACTGTCCTCATAAATCACCTTCACATTGTAATACCTGTCATACATACCCATGTCATTACGCAAATCTGTGTCCTTGTAAACCACATAAACACACACACACACACACACAAACAAAGGTGTAAACAAGAATGTTACAAAAAATGAAATGATAAACTTTTTTAAAAACTAGTAAATTTGGTCAGATCATAAATGTGACAAATCACAAAAAAGTCAGCAGGAATTAGTACAAATAAGCATAATAACATTAAAAAGTGCAGATGATATGAGAGAGTACCTGCAGGTCTGGGTCAGGTACAGGGATGTTATAATACTCTCCCTCATCCTGGTTGAGTAGTTTGAACCAGCCACTGACTGAACGTCTGAATATCTCACTAACGCCGAATGACAGAGCGCCCATGAAGTCATTCCGTGAGGTCCGATCCCAGTCCCAGACCTCTACAGACAAACGCCTGTCCCACTGCCTCCCGCGCACTGAACTACACACAGACAGGAGGACAGAGAGAGATAACCTAGCATCCACTCAGAAAACCACAGCAACACCCTGGCAACAACTTTTGCATCATATGCACATACAAACAAAGAAACACAAATAAGACTCACAAGGTGAAGCTCTCATTCCAGATAGGGTTGAGTGTAGAACGGATGGTTTTGGTTTTCTGTTTGCTCTGGCTTTTTGGATCAGGAATGAGTTTGAGCTTCACATAAGGGTCCGACAGGCCATTAGGATCCATGGGCATCAGGTTATGGGCTTCATGCACTAAAACATATGTTACAGATTGAGAATTGATTATGTGTGTTCATACATACCAGTATTGAATATTGCATGAATTATACCATGCAATAGAACAAAGTGAATATCTCTGTGGTTGTGCTGCTATGCTTAGTACAGTGAATGTGCTTTCAGCTGTATTGTTAAATTGACCTGTCAGAATGACATGCTGCTGGTTGCCTTTAAAAGAACAGCGGTGCATTTTAAATGCTCACATTCTCTGTAGAGCATTAGTAGTCTTCTCACTACTCATTACTCTCTCTATGGTGTCGCTGATCTAAGAGCCAGAGGCTTAGTTAAGTTGACAGTGCAGCTAATGCATTGTAATACAGCAGATTGTGTGTGTGTGTGTATAATTAGCTTTTTCCTTATGTACTGATGATGCTATATGCATACATTTCCCTCTGCTGGAGGAAAGTTGAGCTGTGCTATGCGGCTCATAATGCATCTCCAGTAGGCTTCCTTAAACAGCAAATTCTCTCTGTGAGCTAAGGAGCAATTCTTCACTGGGGTATAAATAGTGGAATCTTAATAAACATTACTTAGCTCTTTCTACGAATAGGACATGAAACAAGGGCATATGTTTTATTTTATTTTATTTTTATAATGGGTTTGAAATTTTTTGCAATATTTTTACTAAAACTTGGGGAATACATTCAGTTGTAATCCTACAGATTTATTTTACATTGTAATTTTCTAGTAATAAATATTAAATAAACACAAAATATATGCAATTTATAAATATAACCCAATATAATTAAGAAAGCTAAAATATATAATTAATACAAGCTATATAATTATGATAGGGCTTATCTAGTTTATAAACAAATGATCGTTTATAGAAGTTGATAGACTTATATTTATGAATATTAATATTTATGAATATTAATATATATATATATATATATATA